AAACAAGCTTTGTCGGTTAAAGGATCCTGTAGAGCCTTTAAAACAAAACAATTTAGTTTATCTAATACCCTGCAATGATTGTCAGGTCAAATACATAGGTCAAACTAGTAGAACAGGGGCAGTCAGACTAGCCGAACATAAAAACCTAGCAAAATCTAGATTAGTTGACCCGAATAAGATAGGAAATCTAGAGAATAGTTCAGCTATAGCACTACACCACATGCAATTACACACAACCATACAATAGGATGGGATAGGATGACAGTTTTAAAATCTAATGTCACAGGAGATATAATGTTTATTGAATCAACTGCAAATACATGTAATAGGAATGATTCAACACCTGTTCCAGATATCTGAAAAATTCTACTACCCCTACGACAAATAGAAGAGGACAAAGAAAACTATAAAACTCAAGTTTCAAAGTCATGTGATTACAATTGATGACATGATTATGAACAATAAATTTTGTTCGAAACTTTGTCATCCAGGAAATAAAACTGTTGCATCTGTCTGTTTACTGACCTACCTAACGCAAAAGAAATCTGAATGTTATCAAAGCACAGACTATTTGAAGACCTAAAAGTTGCAAATACTTCACAGGCCTTTCAAAATCGGCCGTTGTACTTCTGCTCTGTGATAACTATGTGGATTCATCAACTGCAACGACAGGATAATATTTCACATTATAAGACCAAGATAAATGAAGAATTCAATCAATAAAATACACAATCGATTTTTAACTACCAGGATCACTGACAATATATAATCTAGCTAAAAAAAATTTCGGAAAATTAAGTTATCTAACAGAATCATGTGACAATTCTATCAATTCACCGACTCGATTTTTAGAAAACATTAAAACTACTGAAGTGGATGACCGTGAAATCATGGTTTCTTTTGATATCACAGCATATTACACTTCAATTGGTCCAAAATTATCAAAAAAACTATGCAACAACTACTCTGTAGCGATAGAACACACAAAAACGCAATGTTCAACTTGGATGGAACTCATAGAATTATGTCTTACAACATATTTCCAATTCAATAATCACATACACTAACAGACAAAAAGAACACCAATAGGATTGTCCATATCAGGATTAATAGCTGAAGCCGTTATGCGAAGATCCTCATTAATAGTCCTACCTATAATTAAACCGAAAATCTGGGTACGTTACGTTGATGATGTATTTGTAATAATTAAAAGAAATGATTTGGAATACACCCACAAATTAATAAACAACACATTTGAAGACATTAAATTCACCAGAGGAAGAATCATGACAACAGACTACCTTAGATGTCTTAATCAAGAGAAGAAACACAGGAAATTTGGAAACTCAAGCACACAAAATATCATCACACACAGATCAAATACTCTGCTATGATAACAATAACCCAATGACTCACAAAAGAAATTGTGTGCTGACATTGCTTAGAAGAGTCCAAACACATTATAGTACTCCAATGCTGAAGAGAATTGAGGAGAAATATCTACTAACTGTCTTCCAGAGGAATAAACACCCATACAACTTCATCAAAAGGTGTTTAGACTCAAATCGTAATACCAACACGAAACGGTCACCAAAGACAACAAGAAATTCCACTCTACCATATATACAGAATATCTCTGAAATAAAGCCTAGAATACTTAGAGCATTTGAAATAGACACAGCACGCAAACCAAAACAATCACTTCATTCAATATGCTGCAGACCATGGGATCCAACAACAAAAGGAGACATGATCAAGACCATTTACAAAATAAGTTGCATAAACTGTGATAGACAATATATTGATTAAATTGAGAGTCCCCTTCCAATCAGAATGCAAGAACATAAATTAGCCGTGAAAATTATCAATAAAGATGTAAATAAACAACCAATCACGACAGTGGTTGTCAGGAGATACAGTTATATCATTCATTGAGAATTCAGATAAGTTCTGCAGTGAAGCGATGTCTTCAAGGAGAAAACCGAAAGCTTCTCAGTTGAACCAACCAGTTTAGAGAAAACAAATAAATAAGAGTATTCCGTCCTTTAAGAAAGTCATTAAAAGAAATATATTTGAATTGCAAAACAAGACATTGATAAAAACAACTATTACGAAAGCTACATAATCAGATTGTTACCTAGTTATCAGACTCAACAACCGGTAAAATGACCTTGGACAACCAATCAGATTATTTCTTTATAGAAATAATTCCAAACAGAAATATCAGTGTTTCACTAGCAATAACATAACAGTTGACAGTCCCAATGAAGAATGAAGTGCATATTTCCGACCAATTTCTCTGGTATAAATTTGTCATAACGTGAATCCTATCTCAGATTTTATTGACCTAATTATTAACTAAGATTCATACAATTTCAACAGAAGCGTTTTGAACGCATTAGAAAAAAAATACGCAAGAATTGGAAATGTGTCCTAAAACGATATGATATATAATAGTCATTTAGACAAATTTATGTACACAAACTGGTTTCAGATGTCATTAATCACTCCCATGGGAAATCTGGAGACACTCTTTTGCAGCATATAAGAGATACTTTATTCACTTTTAACCCTTTTTTTGTATTATATCTACATATATGCCCTAGTTATACTTTGCAACAGAACAATTGCCTGTTTCTATGGTAAGATTTTGATAGGTTGTTTAAAGTCATTTCCAAGGTCAATGAGTTTGGTTACTAGTCTTTATAGTTGTCGGTCAGATTTTATGCCAGACGTTTTACGGTAATTTGAAGATGGATGTCTTAATTCTGCAATGTCATCTTCAATTTTACATCTGAAGAAGTTATATAAGACAGATATTTATTGGTAATTTCTTGAATGTCAAACACCCCATTAATTCATATCACTGCAACTAGATCGATTTCAGGTGTTAGTTGTCTTCATAGCTCACTGTTTGTTCTTCATGCATATTCTTCATCAGTAAGTACCCACTAAGGCTCGAACCCAAAACGTTCAGCAACTGATACCCAATCCAATGGGCCATAAATTTCAACTTGTTTATTTTCTGCTTATTTAGAACAATGTAATGGAAACAAGAAAGTCATTTTCGGAACTATATTTAAGTGTTCAAAACATTTATGAAAACCTTTTGAATAGATATGGAATCGTATTCTTTTGGGTGATACTGACTAGTGATAGGATCTATGATGCACGTTTCGTCCTATTTCAGACTCAAATGAGCACTGGTGTTCTGAGACTCGAGTCCTGCATTTATTGTTTCAAACTGCAAGGTGTTTCCCACTGGACCGATTGACCACTACAATCACAACTTCGGTAATAAGTATCAGATGTTATCTGTTCTGGCTAATTTGCATTTCTAGTTGATTAATTCTGTTAGACAGAAAATGCTCAGATTCCCCTGCTAGTCTTCGTCAACAAAACAACATTATGTTAATCTGCAGACATCTTCGAAGCGTTCTTTGTAGGAGTTGGTTTATCAGCGGAGACTGCGTATTTATGGAAATACAAATTAATCTAAGAACAAATAATAAATACTGTCAGTTTAGGATGACAAAATCAGGTGGTAAACAAAAAATTTACTTGACCGAGACTATTTTCTTCCTTCACTTGGCATAATAATTATTGTTATTAATTCTTTGCTTTGCAAGTGGAATACAGAGCTTTAACAGCACATTTCAATCTTGTCCTGTTCTCTAAAGTACTTTTTAAGATGATCACAAGATTGTCCATAAGCTTTCATCACCTCCTCTCACGATTTCCCCCATATTATCCTAGGACCTACGCCGAACTCATCATTTCACATTCCGGTTAATTAACTCTCGGTTTAGTTTTTCACAAATCAGGCAATTATAAGAGAACATGGTTATTTATTCGTAATAAAATGCAATGGTAATTCAAAAACAGTGTTTTCTGAAAAATTATACTAATTCACCCACTAGTGTGTATATATAACTGCAGAACCTGATGATGAAGTTTTCGAAAAGAATATTCTTTGTTCAGTAACCATTCTTTTGAAAATTTTAATGGACATTGTTAATCAGTGAAAAAAGAAAGTTTGTTATTATGAGTAAGGATATCATCTATGCACATGTCTTTTATGTCTAATTCCATATAAGATAATTTTATTTTAATCAACACACAGTGATGCACTATTAACAACTGGATGAGGTTTCAAGAACAATTTATTGCTCATAATCATATCAGTTTTAGTCACACAGCTTCATGATTTGCTTTATTCATATACATATATATATATATATATATATATATATAGGTTACAAGGCAAGCTCGTAGACTATTGGCAGAAGTTAGAATTCATGGGCCATTGGATCGGGTCCCAGAGGCTTAATCGTCTACGAGATAACTAGCCTTGTAACCAGAAGGTCCTGGGTTCGAACCCCGGTGGGTGCGTACTAATGAAGAGATTCAAACTAGGACGAAACAACTGTCCAGTCCTCCCAGATTTTCCAATAGTTCTCTAACCGATGTCAGCTCATTATAAAATCCTCCAATCATTCAAACGAAATCCCTACAAAACCAATACTTGAAAATATGTAGGAGGAAATAGAAATGGATTATATACACGCCAAGAAGACCTTTCAGTGACGTCATGTACCGGGCAGGCCCTCAAATGGCACCTGAATGGCAAATGATGCATTGTGCGTGAGTCCAACAGTAGCACGGAGATCGTTTGAGGGGGAGGGAAGGAAGGCTGAATGTGAGAATACATTAACCATACTGCCAACTAGTATAAAAAATTAGATCTGAAAGATGTCACACTTAAAACGTAAAACCCTGATTTTTTTTTCCACTCGATTGTAAATTACCTTTTTACCAATCACCGCTGAAAAGCTCAGAATAATGATGAGAAACTGTGTTCACTGGCGTTCAAGAATTTTAGATGTTTGTCTTCTTTAGCTGATAACACATTTGCCAGAAATTTTTTTTATGTAAACACTAATTTTTATGATTTTAATTTCTGCATGTTACATATATACTTTTTAAAAATACTTTATCAGGTACCGGAAAATAATAATGTTGGTGTGTTTATTGGAGAAGTGACAGCTATGGATCCAGATCTTGGCATGAATGGTATGCTAAATTATAGTATACACTGGCCACCAGGTCAAGGACCAAATCCTTTTGAAATAAATACAAAGGGTGAATTAATTACACGTATGCCGTTAGACAGGGAAAATCAACCTGAAGGTTATCATTTCATTGTAAGTTTTTATAATTTCTCCTTTGTTTTTAAGGCTCTGTATTGATTGGGTTGATTTTTTAAAGTCGAGTTATTAGCCGCACACCTAATCTTCCTATTACCTTCCAGGCATAGGACAAACTAGTAAACTAGGCGTGGTATGTATGTCTGTCGTTACACAAACTCGAAGATCTCCATGTGAAAACCAACAAATTGGCAGAGGAAGCAGCAAACACAGGACTTCAAGTGAACCTTTAGGGGACAGAGGTGATGGAAATACCCAGCCAACCAGAACAAGCATAAGTCACCATCAGAAGTAGAAATTTGAAAGAAGTCACTTCTTCTTTAACAAATATAGGCATCATCGTTTCAATTACAGGCGGCATGGATAAGGATGTCTTAGGCGGGATCGGAAAGGTGAGAAATACCTTCATTACTGTGAAAGCAGTTTGAGTATCTAATGCACTCAGCATGAGGAACAAGATCTAGACCTTCAACATTAATTTCTAATCACTCAGTGATTCTATAAGTTTCAGAAAGTTGATGTGTCACTGGAAACACTTCTAACAACTACCTTCGCTCCAAACTGAAGACCAGATGGCTAGAGGAGATAAGCAGCAATGAGCTCTGGGGATCGACACGCCGAGAACTTATTGCCTGTGATGGATTAAGCCCACACAATGATGACTCAGTTGAATTACATCACACGCGTAGGAGGATTCCCAGTAGAAGGTGAATAGGAAGTGTAGAGTTACGTGTTGGCCCGAGGGTGATGTAAAGGAGATCGTGTGAGGAGGAGGTGAGAGATTACTGGCAATCGTGGAGCTACCTAAAGAGGACTGCACAGATTGGTGTGAAATGCGACCGTGCTGATAAATCCCTATGTTTCGCTCGGAACCTATGGGAGTAAAAATAACCTTCTTTGTTAAAATGTAAACAATGGGTCCACTGTTTCTCTATAGCCTAATCGATAAAACACATTGATAGGAATATGGAAGGTGACTACAGCACTATGACCTTATTATTTGTTTCAGTTTCTCTTTTCATCGCACAGTATCAAAAACATGTTTTTTTGTCAAATTGAAGCTGATTTAGACAGTTACCGAAGAATCAATAAAATGCAGTCATTGTACTGAGTACTTTTGCAAAAGTTATTAAACACCCATTTTACTTAAATAAAGTTATGTTATTTTAAAGTTTCCGTATATTTTGCATTTAGCTCATCATAGTTTCTGAAGCTTTAAACAACAATAAGAATTTGGAGACTGTGGTATCCGAGTGGATTAACACATGGATTTAGTGATAAAGAAATGAAACAGACAACTCGAATGAATGCTTCCCCCACTTTACTCCTGCTTCTTTGAGCCTAGAAGATATCGTCAGAAAACAAAGATTTGCCTGTGTGTTAGGACAACCTTATTAGATAAAGGCACTATATATATATATATATATATACTTCGAACACAAATTAATTCATGCTAAGTTAGAGGTTCAATGAACAAATTCGATTGCTTATATAAGGTTCTAGACTCGATATAAATTCAAACTTTGTTTAATAAAACTATGACATCCACGTAACAGAATAAATCACGAAATCTAACTCTGTAGTCAACGGCTTAAAATGTTGATTCTGGATTTTTTAATTCATGAAAATTCCCGATTCGAACACTAATAGAGAGAAGACAGTAGTTCAGCGAAGAGTCTCTTTCAGCGAATTCATTTTCACAACTGTACAGTTGCAAATTAATATTGTTATTTCGTATGTGTGTGTAGATTAATTTTTTCGGTGGCACAGTGGTTAGGACTCTCGCCGACCATGCACATGGTCCGGAGTTCGATCCCCTGCCGGCGCACACCCAATATCTATGGTATGCCTGAATTTGGGCAACCGATATCCATGCTGAAAATTCCACACTTGTACTGAAAATACGGTGTGGAATCAAGCTGTAAATCAAAAAAAAAATTATAATAAGTTCTTGGTGGAATTACGTAATACAAAAGGCGATCAGAGAAATGGGGTGTTGATACAAGAGGGTAGCAACAAAAGTGATGAGTTGTCATAAACGATTATTAAAGGAGAGTTACGTAATAACATGAATAGTTTGATGAAAGAGTTGTGCTCATGGCGTACATGGAAGCAGAACAAAATACGGAATTACGTAAGAATTGTAAGTAGTTAGAGAAAACAAGCAAACAAGCGAAAGTTAAGTCAAATCAACAGGGATGTTACCATTACAGTAGAAGTGGCTGAATAATTTTCTTTTCTATGCACAGTTCTTGTTGTTCTAACTTAATGGCTGGGGCTTCTGCAATGCAAAGAAGACTGAGACGTATTGTCTTTGGCAGGTTGTTCTTAACTTTGTGGATTACACTGAAGGAGGCGTTTATTGAGATGGAATGACCAGAGGTGATGAGATGTTCGTTAAATGCACTCCTTCTATGGCTACTGCTCCCTTTTTGCAGGCACGTTGGATTGTGTTCTTTAACTCTTCTTGACAGGATACGCGTCTGATACGACCGATGAACCTGGGTCTACAGCAACAGGTGCACTGATATATATACATAGAAGTGGTCAGGTGCGAGATCTTGTCCTATGCGCTTCTGCAGATTAGCGTGCGACTGGAAAACACTGCTCTCAGTGTTGCCGTGAAGAAAGTTCTTGTAGATTTAAATTCTAGATTCAGCTGCTGCCTATCATAGCATTTTTAACAGAAACTGGTTCACGATAAACTAATCAAAACTGTGATATCTTCTCAAAGTCCAGTAAAACTGTCTAACTATTAGTATATTAGTAATTAGTATGACACGGTAAAAATGTATGTTTTCTACAAATGCCTAGTTAGACTTTTACATTCAGTAAGGTTTTCTGCCTAATATTTAGCACTTCTTTTAGAAGAAACACTAATATCACTATTTTTAGATTGGTGATTCAATAGAGCGTAACCAACGTCATGCGTCTATTCCTTGATGTTTCTGATTAACCGCTTTTGTGTACTGTGAATTCATGTCAGATGGTTGGAGGAAGTCGGTGGGAATCCCTTGACCTAGGTTTCGGGCTTTTTAGCCACCTTAAACAAAACCGTGTCCACAACTGTGAAAGAACTGATGTTCCCTCTGAAATTCGAAACCGCATCACCCAACGGGCCAATCAGAGATGTTGCCACTGAGTTATTTGGACCCACGATTAACCTCCGGGCTCTGAGCCTAATGATGACTATTGATGAGCACATGAATGTATTTTATAGAACTAAATAACCTTAAATATTACTTACATTCATTTATTCTACAAATTAAACAGTAGAGGTGCTATCTGTTGTTTATTTGGTTGGTATGACAAAATGGATGGAATAAATCTGTAATCACATTGAACTCTTCTAGGTTGATCAAATTAGTGTTATGACGGAGAGTGACTGATTTGCGGGTCCGTCTAACTTGACTAGAATCCACCTCCAGAATACGGCACCATAACCAACTGATCACTTGAAAGTATCTCCCATAGTGAGATCGACTCAAACTTTAGACTGCGCAAAACGACGACCCGAGAGATGATGATAACAGCCACAGCGGTAATAACAGTAATAACTGCAACAACCGTTCTTAAATAAAATATATCGTGTGTTATATCTGTAAAACCTCAGAAATTGCAGTCGTAATTAAAAACAAAATCTGATTGGTTGTGTGACATAGAAATCCCTCAGAAAAGTAAGGTATAAATATACGAATCAAAACTGCGCAATATTATTATCATTTCATTACATGCATAAATCATGACCTCATCCATTTTAAGTCACCCACTGATTGTGGCCTAACAACTGCAGAAAAACAAAGAACAGGCATTTCGGTAAATATTCCCTCCTTCAGCTCAAACCTCAATCTCCCCTTTTTGTCCTCTTTCAGTGTAGCAGTGGTTCCAAATATTCAAGTGTCACAAGTATGTATCAGAAGCCTTTCTTTACCTGTATAAACAGATGAGGTTCATGTTTACTTACAGTTTCATACACTACGATATTCAGTCATTCTTTATTCCACACAAACACAGGTAGACGTTTTGTCTACCAAATGTATTAACTTAATTACCTTTTGAAATAATACTGATTGAATTTATTGATTTGATGAATAGGTATTATGTTATGAGAAGGATACTTTGTTTTCTGTGTAACTTAATTCCATTACTGAAACTTGAGGTTGAGTTTTACTGAATAAGATAACCTGCTGAAATGAACGCCTTTACGTTGTAACCAGCACAGTCAGTCTAAAAATCTCTCTTTTCTGTTAGGGTAAATGCTTTATTTTAGAGAAAATTATCCAAAACTGATTTTTTACAACTGCGTACAAAATTTTAAAAAGTAGTAAATTTTATGTCAGCTTGTTTTTATTGCATACATATATATATAACGCAATATTTAAATTCTTCTTGTTTTTATGACAGACAGAAATGAAATCTAAATATATTGCGAAAATTCATGACTTTGATTAAGTTGTCGTTTATTATATGCATATATATATCGACTGATCATGCGTCTGGTCCCTGGTGCTGGTTCACACTGAATTTTATCAGTCAACTTTGCAATACTTTGGTGGCCAAGCTAGATGGCTCGCCAGCATTATTATTATTATTGTTCCCTTGGGTTCCTAGTGGAACATAGGGCTTCAACTACACGTCTCCACTTGTTTCTGTCTTCTGCTGTACTTTTCACCTGCATCCATGTTAGTCCATACTGTTTCAACTCTTCTTCACATGATCTCCTCCATGTCACCATTGGACGTCCCACTCGCCGCTTCCATTTCGGGTTCCACTCGAGCTATGGCCTGACGCGCGATGTCACCCAACGGCCTCCTCAGCGAGTGTTCAATCCATCTCCACTTTCTCCTGCATATTTGTTGGGCGATTGGTTCTTGTTTTGTTTGTTCCCATAGTTTCTTGTTGGTGATTCTTTCCGGCCATCTGATCTTCAGCACAGAGCGAAGACAGTTGTTGATAAAGGTCTGCAACAGGCTGTTGGAAATATTCTTTGTTTCTGA